AGCTCCCGACGCAGATCATCCACTAAGGCGACCAAGGCTGTCTCGGTACCATGCCCCGGCCTAAAGCCAGACTGTGCCGGATCCAGATAATCCGTGTCTACCAAGAATGCCTGGAGTTGTGAGGCCACCACACGTTCCATGACTTTGCCCAAAAAGGGGAGATTGAAACAGGCCGATAGTTGACGAATTGAGTGGGGTCCAGTGATGGTTTCTTCAACAGCGGTTTTATCACAGCTTGCTTTAAGCTGGCTGGAATTTTGCCCCCCGAAGGGAGGCATTAACCACCACCTTCACCCACTCGGCCAATCCCCCTCTGGCCTCCTTTAGAAGCCAGGAGGGGCAGGGGTCTAGGATGCATGTGGTAGCTCTCATTCCTCCAAGCACCTTGTCCACATCCTCGGATTGAACCAATTGAAATGAATCCATCAAAACCGGACAAGCAGATGCTCGTGTTACATCCTCAGAGACTGCCATTAATATGGTATCCAGTCCAGAGCGGATCAAAGCGACTTTGTCTGCAAAGAACTGAGCAAAGGCTTCACAGCGAGCTGCCGAGTCATCAGGGCACCCATCCTGAGTGGTGGGTTTTAACAGCCTCTGACAACTCGGAACAGTTCAGCCGGACGGTTCTTTGCAGACGCAATAGTGGCCGCAAAGAAAGTTTTCTTTGCAGCTTTTATTGCCGCGGCATATGCCCTTAAAAAGGACACAAACCGTGTTCGATTTGGCTCGCTCGGATCTGAACGCCACACGCTCTCTAGTTCCCTCTTCTTTCGCTTCAACGCTGCCAGCTCCTCAGTAAACCAAGGAGCTGGTTTAGCTCGGCTACTTGAGAGGGGACGTTCTGGAGCGATCGTGTCTATTGCCCTGGTCATCTCCCCATTCCAGAGAGCGACCAGGGCATCGACAGGATCACCAACCGAGGCGGCGGGAAATTCCCCAAGAGCCATCAGGAATCCATCCGGATCCATAAGCCTCCTGGGGCGGACCAATTTAATGGGTCCTCCACCTCTGCGGAGGTTAGGGGGTGCAGTGAGTCTAAAGCTGACCAGGTGGTGGTCGGTCCATGGCAACGGAGAGATGGATAACTCCTCAACACCGCCACCTTCCTCCCATCCCTGGCAGAAAACCAAGTCCAATGTGTGTCCAGCACTGTGGGTGGGGCCAGATACCTGTTGGGACAGCCCCATGGTTGCCATGGTAGACATGAAGTCCTGAGCCGCTCCCGATAAGGCGGCCTCGGCATGGACATTGAAGTCCCCCAGCACAAGCAGCCGTTGGGACTCCAATGCCAGGTCCGAGACCACCCCCGCTAGCTCAGGCAGGGAGACTGTAGTGCAGCGAGGTGGACGGTACACTAACAGAATCCCTAATCTGTCCCGGTCACCCACCCTCAGGTGGACGCATTCAAAATTTGTTGACTGCGGGATGGGGGCCCTGGTCAGACGAATGGAGTCTCTATAGACCACTGCAACTCCGCCTCCCCGACCTCCGGATCTCGGTTGGTGCTGCACAGAGAAACCTGGTGGGCAAAGCTGGGTCAAATTTACACCTCCCGCTTCGTCCAACCAGGTCTCTGTGATACACGCCAGATCTGCCCGTTGTTTTACCATTGACAGATCTGGCGTTCAACAGCACCACTTTCAATTCGGAGGGACCGCCATCCTGGTTACACCAGCTTACCGTATCAGGAGACCGATTTGGAGTTACTAATATTGTTCCACGTTCCCTAGGCCGAATTAAAGGTCTCCCTTTCCCGTATCTCCCCTTCCCCACCACGACTTCTATGGGGGCTCCCCAGTTAACGGAACCCTCTCCCTCCTCCATGACGCATTCAGTAGCCATAGTCTCAATCCATAGTTCGTCATTGACTGTTTGATATGTTACAACTTCGGATTGCCATAGTCTTGCTTTACATTCATTTCCCACTCCTGTTATGTTATACTCCAGTCTTCCTGATCTACTCCGTTCCCTCTCTCTACCATAAACAATTAGCAGCAAGATTAACAAATTGTTTTATTATTATTTATTGCTATTATTATGTATTGTTATTATGTATGAAGATGAATTATTATTTATTTTTACGCAATATTATTATGTAATGTCAGTACTATTGTGTATTATTATTATTACAAATTGTTATTGTATTTTATTATGTATTATTTTGTATTATTTTTATTGTTTATTGCTATTATTATGTATTGTTATCATGTATGATGATGTATTATTAGTATTTTTATGTAATATTATTATGTATTTTATTATGTACTAGCCGTCCCCTGCCACGCATTTCTGTGGCCCACATGAGGGTTCTGTGTGGGATGTTTGGTCCAATTCTGTCGTTGGTGCGGTTCAGAATGCTCTGTGATTGTAGGTGAACTATAAATCCCAGCAACTACAATTCCCAAATTTCAAGATTCTATTTTCCCCAAACTCCACCAGTGTTCACATTTGGGCATATTGAGTATTAATTCCAAGTTTGGTCCAGATTCATCATTGATTGAGTCCACAGTGGTCTCTGGATGTAGGTGAACTACAACTCCCAAACTCAAGGCCAATGCCCACCAAACCTTCCAGTATTTTCTGTTGGTCCTGGGAGTTCTGTGTGCCAAGTTTGGTTCAACTCCAACGTTAGTGGAGTTCAGAATGCTCTTTGATTGTAGGTGAACTATAAATCCCAGCAACTACAACTCCCAAATGACAAAATCATTTTTTTGAGTGAAGGACATACATTGGGTTGTTAGGTGTCTTGTGTCCAAATTTGGTGTCAATTCGTCCAGTGGTTTTTGAGTTCTGTTAATCCCACAAACGAACATTACATTTTTATTTATATAGATTACTATGTAGTAGTATTATTATTATTATTATTATTATTATTATTATTATTATTATTAATCATTATTAAATATTGGGGAACTAAAAGTCCAAGGACCCCGTAGCCTTGAGTTATGGCAGCGCAATAGGGTCCAACAGCATTCATTCTGCAGCATAGTATAGACAATGGGACCTTGGGAAACTGCAACTCTCAGGATTGCATGGTTTGGAGCCACTGTGGTGTCAATCCCCCTTGATTTGGCAGTGTAAATACACTCCTCCAGCCTGGCGTTTGGGAGGAAAGGGCTCTTGTTGGACCTGATTTGCTTTGCAAACAAGGACGGCCATGCAAAGCGGGTGGGAGGCCTTTCCCCCTTCCAAACATCTGCTCTTTGCTTTGGTCTCAGCCTTCTGTAAAATGGGAGCATTCATTCGTTTGCTCCAATGTCACCCAATTGGAGGATTCGGGGCTGTCGAAAGCATCTCGGATGTCTACACACATTGCCCAAGTGAGGCGAAGCATAAGGAGAGGGGGGTTAATGAATAAAAATGTATATTATTATTATTATTTTTCTATTATTATTTTATTGTATTATTATACAATAATAATAATTTATAATTTATTTTATATTATCATTATTATTACTAGCTGTCCCCTGCCATGCGTTGCTGTGGCCCAGTCTGGTGATCTGGAAAATAAAGTAATGAGAAAGTGTTGGTTTCTAATATATGCAATTCCTTTCTGCTTGTGAGTAAACAGTATTTCTAGTTGTTTCTTTGTCAGTGTTGATGTGGAGAGTGTCTGGTTTGCCCACCCTGGAACATGCAACATATCATTGTCCTTCTTTAAGGGTCCCTTTCTAATCTATGATACTATCTCTCTCTGTGTGTGTGAATCATATCTATCTATCTGTATCTATGGCTGGATGGCTCTTTGTCAGGAGGGCTTTGATTAGATTTTCTTGCTCTGGTGAAAAGAGTTGGACTGGATGGCCTTAAGTATTTTCTGTTGGTCATGGGGGGTTCTGTGTGGGAAATTTGCCCCAATTCTGTGTTTGTGGGGTTCAGAATGCTCTTTGATTGTAGGTGAACTATAAATCCCAGTAACTAAAACTCCCAGATGTCAAGGTCTATTTCCCCCAAACTCCATCTGTGTTCATATTTAGGCATATGGAATTTTTGTGTCAAGTTTGGTCCAGATCCATCATTGTTTGAGCCCACAGTGCTCTCTGGATGTAGGTGAACTACAACTCCCAAACTCAAGGTCAATGCCCACAAAACCCCCAGGGAGCCCTTCCAAATCTATGATCCTATATCTATCTCTCACATACATACACATACAGGCCGTCCCGAATTACAAACATCTGATTCACAAACAACTCCTAGTTTAGAACAGGGCTGAGATCACAGGAAGTGAGAGGAATTTTATTTTATATACTAGCTGTCCCCTGCCACGTGTTGCTGTGGCCCAGTCTATAAATCCCAGTAAGTACAAATCCCAAATGTCAAGGTCTATTTCCTCCAAACTCCATCTGTGTTCATATTTGGGCATATGGAATTTTTGTGCCAAGTTTGGTCCAGATCCATCATTGTTTGAGTCCACAGTGCTCTCTGGATGTAGGTGAGCTACAACTCCCAAACTCAAGGTCAATGCCCACCAAACCCTTCCAGTGTGTTCTGTTGATCATGGAAGTCCTGTATGCCATGTTTGGTTCAATTCCATCATTGGTGGAGTTCAGAATGCTCTTTGATTGTAGGTAAACTATAAATCCCAGCAACTACAACTCCCAAATGACAAAATCATTTTTTTGAGTGGACATACATTGGATTGTTAGGTGTCTTGTGTCCAAATTTGGTGTCAATTCCCCCAGTGGTTTTTGAGTTCTGTTAATCCCACAAACGAACTAAAAAACCACTGGATGAATTGACACCAAATTTGGACACAATACATCTATCAGGCCAACAAATGACCATCACTCAGAAAAAACACAGAAAAACACAGCAGAAAAGACTTGAAAAGTTAAAAAAAGATACATTACAACGCATGCGCAAAACCACACACACACAAACACGTATATACACATATAAACAAATATACACACACACAAAAACACATATACACAGACTGAGCCACAGCAATGTGTGGCAGGGGATGGCTAGTAATAAATAATAACTTGTTCAGCTAATCCAATAAGTAAAAGTTTATTAAAAGCAGAGTATATAAAAAGCAAGCCAGTTCGACTCTGTTATGGCTCAGCAGCAGGATGCTGGGGAATCCTCAGGGGATGAGGGGGATGGTTTCACTGAGTCTGTGCGTGATCAGGCTGAATTGCAGGCCTTCGATCAGAGAGAAGGGCCGGCAATGACAGAGGATGTTTGGGATTCCATTTCAGCAAACGAGGAGTTTTCCCACGATATCAGATTGGGCCTCAGAGTGGAGGGAGTGAAGGATAGATTAATTAGATGGTCAGAAAGACTCTGTGAGAAGTCCTTGAAACTCTGTGAGAAGTCTTTCAGACCCAGGTGTCAAAGAGATGACCTCATGGCTGCTTGGTCGGGCCTGAGCTTAAATTAAGTGATGTTTTCTTGGAGTCTCCAGAGCAGACAACTTTGCCATAGAATCAAATTCCTGGATCAGCAATCATGCTCATGAATCTTGTCTCCTGTGTTTCCCTATGTTCCTATAAGAGTTTTGTCCTGGAAAAGCTACTGTTTTCATGCTTATGGATTTATGCCTATGATCTTGATTTCCTGGATTCCATGTGCTTTGCCTTTATAGACTATTGAACTTTGTAAATATAGAATAATAGAATCATAGAGTTGGAAGAGACCTTATGGGCCATCCAGTCCAACCCCATTCTGCCAAGAAGCAGGAAAATTGCATTCAAAGCACCCCCGACAGATGGCCATCCAGCCTCTGTTTAAAAGCTTCCAAAGAAGGAGCCTCCACCACACTCCGGGGCAGAGAGTTCCACTGCTGAACATCAGGAAGTTCCTCCTAATGTTCAGGTGGAATCTCCTTTCTTGTAGTTTGAAGCCATTACTCCATTGCATCCTAGTCTCCAGGGCAGCAGAAAACAAGTTTGCTCCCTCCTCCCTATGACTTCTTCCCATATACTTATACATGGAAGCAGTGGAATCTCACAGTCAGGAAGTTCTTCCTAATGTTCAGATGGAATCTCCTTTCTTGTAGTTTGAAGCCATTGTTCTGCATCCTAGTTTCCAGGGAAGCAGGAAACAAGCTTGCTCCCTCCTCCCTATGACTTCCTCCCACATACTTATACATGGCTATCATGTCTCCTCTCAGACGTCTCTTCTGCAGGCTAAACATGCCCAGCTCCTTAAGCCACTCCTCATAGGGCTTGTTCTCCAGACCCTTGATCATTTGAGTCGCCCTCCTCTGGACACATTCCAGCTTGTCAATATCTCTCTTCAACTGTGGTGCCCAGAACTGGACACAATATTCCAGGTGTGGTCTAACCAAGGCAGAATAGAGCATGGGTAGCATGACTTTCCTGGATCTAGACACTATACTCCTATTGATGCAGGCCAAAATCCCATTGGCTTTTTTTGCTGCCGCATCACATTGTTGGCTCATGTTTAACTTGTTGTCCACAAGGACTCCAAGATCTTTTTCACATGCTGGACTACTGGTATTTCATAGCACCTTTTTCAACTGCTTTTTAGGAACTGCCTTCGCCCCCTTTTGCAAGTGCTTTTCTAAATAAACTACTGTAGTTCGAGACTATTGCACTCTGGTGTGGTGCTGGGTAGAAAAGGGTGACCTCAAGGCTAGAGTGCAACAAAATCAAGAAAATCAAGAAAGTCCCCAACAACAGCAATGTCCCAAGATTTCCAAAAGCAAGATAACATGAATCCAAAACAGGAAAACTAGGCCACACATGAACTAAATGTAAGAAGAGCTTGAAACGAATACATGAATTCTAAGGACATGAAATTGAGAGCTCTTCACCTGAATGCAGCATTGCTCTCACAAGGATTGTACCAACATGAACCACTTTTAAAAAGCCAGAATCCCTCCCATGAGATCATTTCTCCTGCACCTGCCTTCCCATTCCTTATCTCGAATTCACTGGGAAAACCGAGTCTGTCTTAATTGCATGCCCTCTCGTCTCCCTCATTTCTCTCACGAGTACTGATATCGCTTTCTCCAGCCTCGTGGGAATTGCCTGGAGATTCCAAAACAACTCTCTCCAGGCCACTTCTAACCTCCTCTGGGCCCTCTTAATCTCTCCCAGCATCCCCTTCCTCATCTTCTTAGCGCTCAGAATCTGACCAGGCTACAACAGGCAGAAATAGGGAAAACAACGAGGGTTCTTGCGAAGGCATGACCGTGCGGGTCCTGGGCCGGGTTCAAGAGTAGGGTCTTCAGGGGGGCCCCCCGCCATGGTGCTGCTGGGCCTCTTGGTGGCGGCGTAGGTCCACCTTGCGCTGGAAGCCTTTCCCGCATCCGCTGCAGCTGAAGGGCTTGAAGCCGGTGTGTTTGCGGCTGTGCGTGATCAGGTTGGAGCTCTGGCTGAAGGCCTTGCCGCACACTTGGCACTTGTGTGGCTTCTCACCTGGAAGGACAATGGGTTATTATTATTATTAGCATTATATTATTATTATAATTATTAGCATGTGTGACGATGTGTAACTTTTATTCTCATGTTTATGTGTTGTTTA